ATAAATTTTTTTGTTATAATTAAAGCAAAAATTAATATAAAGCAATTGTTATAACAAATATAGAGATTATCTAAATAACAGAAGCGGACTTAAAATTCATTCTGGTATTTTTATCTAATGGTGATAATTTTGTTTTTTATTTTTTCAAGTTGCTACTGGCTTTTCATGCAGGATATTCTTCTGAAAATACTTAATCATAACTTTTTTTTAAATAGTTTTGTATTTATTATTTTTTATGCTATTTTCTTGTAATGTTTTCTACTTTTTTATAGCCTTTATTTCCATCAATGTATTTAAATTTGTAAATATTTAATATATTCATAAAACTTTTTTGTATAAACTGATTTAGTTTTTTGTCTGTGATTTTTTAGTGATATTTTTGAAAAAGTGGTATTTTTTAAAAATACAGTTATATTTCTATTAAGGAGTTACATACATTATAATAATTTGGTTTGTTATTAATATTATTTATTATTACATTGATATTCTTGATGAAATTCAAACAAAAAGTATAATTATCTTTTAACAAATTTTGGTTTTCCATTTGATATATCTTTTTTAAAATTTTATTTTATTAAATATAAAAAAATATTTTTGCCAGATGAAATTTTTAACCCGCAATTTAAATAAACTCAATAATAAGATATTTCAAGAAAATTTCATAGCATTTCAAGCATACCTTTTTTGAAAAAACCTATATCAAAAAAAGGTATAGTTTTGAAAAGAAACCTATTGAAATTATATATCAGCACAAGTTTTGAAACGGCAATGAAAGGAACGATTTGGAAAATACTTGTTTTAAAATGGAATTTCAAGATTTCTTTTGTAAAGTTGTTTAAAGAAAAATGATGCAAACGTGGAAAAGGGAATAATTTTGAAAAGCCAGTTTAGAAGGATGCAAATATTGCAGCTTAAAGGCTTGCAGTGAGGTGTTCATACATTTACTGACTAAAATAGGGACAGGCACAGTGGAGTGTTCATAAATCAGCTTACTAAAATAGGGACTGGCATAGCGGAGTGTAATTACAAAGGATTTAGGTTTTATATTATTTATTTATTATTAAATATTTAAATTAAGAACATATAAATCATTTTTTTTGAACATTGCAAAGTTGCATCTCAAAAAATTATTCTTTTTAAAATTACTCTTTTTTTTTTTTTTTTTTGCATTTGGAAATAATTCCATCTTGCTTGGTTTCATAGCTATTCTAGTTTTACTTTTTCAAACTCAGGTTTAGCTAGTTTTATTAATCAGCACTGAGTATTCTTCGGGAGATTATCCTTTTGATATATTAACGTAATGAGTGCTGTATTAATGGCTAGATGCTTTAGCCTATCATCTATGCCTAAGTCTTTTGATATGATTTTAGCATCTGTGTTAATGCTGTTATATTGTGTGATAACTGTTTTTTTATAGGTTTTAGTAATATTTTCAGTATAAGTTAATGATACGATATATATATATATATATATATATATATATATATATATATATATATATATATATATATATATATCAGGGGCGGATCTAGGGTGTCGCCACTGATGCGTGTGCATCAGTCCTTTTGCACCGCTAAATTTAAGTGTGTCTCTTTTTCAATTTTTTTTTAATAATAAAAAGTTAAAGTAGAAATTAAAATCTGATATTCTTAAAAAATGTAGAACTTATTTTAAACTCGAAAAAATTTATTACATCTAAACTCGATTTTATTTGATCTCTATAATTACTTATTCGTTACTTAGACGAAATTTCCTTCGTTTTGGAGCAACTGATGCAATTGTTCTTCACCAAATACAAATGTGATTGGTTAAAGAAGAAATATTTTAGGCTTTAACCAATCATATTTGTATTTTTTTACAAATTTTTCCTATCAATTTGTAGCAAGTGATGCAATTGCTCTATAAATCATAAATGATTGGTTAAAAAACAGTTTAAACTAATCACTATTTATTAAAATAACAATTGCATCAGTTGCTACAAACCTTCTGCAAAAAAATCCAAAAATGTTTCAAATATGATTGGAGAATGTTTTATTAGCCAATCAATTTTGTAGAAAGTTTAGAACAATTGCATCAGTTGCTCCAAATCGTTCAAAATTTACAAAATTCTGATATGCAACTTGGTACACATACTTTGCTCGTAATTTTTGTCATAGAACTTTGCTAGTAAATTAAAGTTTTGAAACAAAGATGAATTTTTTAGTTTCAAATGCAATTAAGGCTAGGTATTTGCAAAATATTCGCAAATGTCAAAATCAGTTAACTGAAGAGTTGAAAATTTTAAATTACAAGTATCCAGTGCAGCCATAGAGTCAGTCTTGAAAATTCTGAAATGGATTGCTTTATCCGGAAGACAGACGATAGTAAAGATTATGGTGCTTTAAGGTAAAACTCTATTACTAAAGTTAATGATGTTATATATTTCTGGCTAGAAAATAAAATAAACTGATCTTGTTTTATATACTTTTTTTTATTTATTTTTACTTATCCTTTCCACTTTATTAGTCCTAAAATAAAACAAATAAAAAGCATTTCTCTGATGATTCTTTTACAGAAAAAGTTAATTTTTGCAAAACATGGCAAAATCCAATCCTTTAAAAATCCTTTAAAAAAGACAATGCTTTTATAGAGTTGCCTTTTAAACTTTCTGTAGATTTTAAAATATTTGAGTGATTAGATTCCAACTCAGTTAATATTCCTTTATATAAAGACTCAAATACTTTATATGATGTTTCAACATATGGTAACCCATTGTAAACTTTTAACCCATGGTAAACTTTTAACTAACCCATGGTAAACTTTTAAGCGCTGGCGATGACGATGCAATTTTGATAGATATGGTAAACAAAGTATTTCCTCCAAATTCTATATTTGTTTTTCCATTATCTATTTACTAGATATTTAATAGACATTAATACAAAAAAATCACTTAAAATTGAATGACTAGGCCCCAATAACTTTTGGGGTTGCAACGTAAACGTAATGCATTGCAAAACACAACTTTTGTCGTGTTTTTTAAAATCATGAACAGCATTACCCCATTCTTGACGAGGCTGGAAAACTAAATTTAGTATTCCAGACTTATTTGGAATACTAGCACATAGCAAAGTAAAAAGAAAACAGTAAGCTCAATCTTATTTTTTAGAATAAGCTAACCAAAAATAGTGGTTGATTTAAATAATTTTTGTTTAAAATATTTTTCTGATAACTGAAAAAAATTGTTCCTATAATTAAAACAATAATATTTCTTGGTTGGAAGATGTAACTTCATACAGCTTTTAAATATTTGAGTTGAGGCTGGTGATCAAATATTAGCTAACCATCTTTTTTTCAAGTCCAAAAAATGTGACCTTTATATCAAAAACTAACTAAAACCAACTTATTGATTTTTGTGGGAAAACAATTTAGGTAGCTTTAATAAAAAATGTTGAGCATTCAAATTTTTTATTTAAATTCTTTGTGATGAAGCAGTTGACTGTTCAAATACTAAACAAATGTCACTTTTTTTAAGATATGTAAATTCTTAAAAAAAGTGACATTTGTTAATAATAATGAGATTTGTGTGGATTTCCTACTATTTATTTGTTGCAAGACTGGTACATCTGGTCTTAGTCTATCTCTAAATTACTTTCTAAAATTACTTAATACATTTTAAGAGACTTTTTGGACTTGATATTCAAAATTGTAGAGGCCAAGGGTATGACGGTACAGGATTGAGTTGCTTCTTGAATAAAAGCTCTTAATCATAATGCTGTTTTTGTTCATTGTACAAGCCATAAACTTAGTTTAGTTGTAGTAGCTATTGCTTTAGTTTGGTTTTTGGTTTTAGTCTTGATATCCAAGAAGTGAGACCTAGATTGTGTACTTTTCAGAATCCAAAAATAGAGGGTTAACCTTATATAAGGGTACTAATACTTAACATAAACTGCTATCAAGAAAAGGATAGAATCTAGAAATGGAGGGCTAACTTTATAATTATAATATTAATTAATTAACTTGATATTACTTTACATTAATAAATAACCTAATATTACTTTACATTACGTGCTTATCAAGAAAAGGTAAGAATTCAGAAATGGAGAGCTAACCTTTGGCGAAATGATAGTACACAGATGAAATGCAAAGTCCTATGGCTTACCTTCTCGTTGCTGCACTTTGTTAAGTAAATTGGACTTGAAATAACATGTCTAATTTATGAACGAAATAGCCAAGGCAACATTTGTGAAAATTTCTTTAAAAAATAAATACTATAAAAGCAATACAAAACAAATTTAGTTATTATTTAATGACATAAAGAGCGGCGTCACTCCTAAAAAAAAACCCGTCCGAGACATGTCCTCCCCACTCTTGCTACGCCTTTTTCTGTCCCTCTACTTTTAAAATTGACTATACTTAAACCCTAGGGATGTTAGGGGGGGGGGGGGGGGGGAAGATCTATTAAAAAAAACTTCGCATCACCCTTTTAAATTGCTAGATCCGTCCCTGTATATATATATATATATATATATATATATATATATATATATATATATATATATATATATATATATATATATATATATATATATATATATATATATATATATAGATAGATAAACAAAAGTTTATCTAGCTCATGCCATTTTTGCAATTGTTTTTGAGAATTGTTTTGAATTTTAGAAAATAAAATGTTCTTAATTAGCTTAATTAAATGGTTTTTAAAACTTACTAAAAATCATTTTTTTGTATATAATTTATGTTGTAACTCTATCGCATGAAACTTCTTTTTATGTAATTGAAATATATATTAATAATTATTTAGTTTTCACTTTATTATTTGCTCTACCAATTATATATATATATATATACGCTATATTGAGTACTCTTACTAGAAATATTGACACAATTCGTACAATATAAATGTGTGTGTGTGTGTATATATATATATATTACATTAATGATAAATATTAATACTTTTCATATAAATATAGTTGTAAAGGTTATAATAAAATAATACTTAC